AACAATCGGACCATGAAAACGCGGACCAACTTCATTTAAATTTGTAGTTACAGACGGTATTACAAAATGGTCTTAGGTGTTAAATTGAATAAAAAATTAAAAATCATATTGTGGTAGACCTCTTTTTCTTCTAAAACTGATGTTTCTTAGAGCAAGATACGCCTTTACTAAGTGATCTGTCTTTTATTGTATATTCTGTTTTTATCTCATTCCAAAGTATACTTTTTTAATTAAATATTTGTTTACAAACTTACGACATAACGAAGCGTATATTTACTACCGAAATTTGAAACAATGTCTTAAATATGGTTAAAAATTGACCAAAATTCACTGTATTTTAAAATTTATCCAGTCGCCTTGAAAGTATATCGAATGAAATACCATCCTTTTTAACCAAGCAAAGAATGACTTGGAAAAAGACCTCTTTAAGCTGCTTGTCAACGTGATCTTTGGAAAGACAATGGAAAATTTGGATTAGTGAAAATAAATTTATATTTCTATGAAGTGTGCTCTCACCTACAGATCCTGTGGAAGGATACTATAAGCAAAATCAGAATTTTTTAAATGTTCTGTAATTAATTTAAACTTGGTTGCTGTGTGTTTAAAGTAAAGTAAAAGTATATATTAACTAACCCATGTCTATAGTTAATTAATCCGAAATTTGGCGATGCTGCAAATTTGTGTTATACCGACACCGATTCCGTAATTTTAGAAGTATTTGCTAGTAATATTTTACGAAAATCTAAAACCAAAAAATACACATTTTGATACTTCCAATTTTATAAAAAATAATGAATATTCCATTATTGGAAAAATTAAAGACAAAGATTGCGAGTACTCTAGCTGAGACATTTTAGAGCATAATCGCAAAGGCATATTATGTAAAACTAGACAAGCCCTCTGAGAAGTCAACAGAAACAAAGAAAGCTGAAGGTGTCTCGAAAAATGTAGTCAAAAATCAACTTTATGAAAATGATTACATCTGGATTATACAAAATGCAGATAGAATATTTATAACCTTCCATATCTTACATTAATAAACGTAATAAACGAGATACCAATATAGGGACTTGAATTTAATACCATCCTTCAAAAACAAGCAAAGTATGACTTGGAGAAAGACCTCTTTAAGCTGCTGGTCAAGGCAAAGGAAAATTTAAAGAAGAAAAAATAAATTCATATTTCTATCTATGGGGTTATACAAATTGTCCTTGCACCTATGGATCCTGTGCGAAGAAACTAATAGCAAATCCAGAATTTATAAACAATATACTAATATTATAGAGACTTGAATTTAGGACAGACGTATTTATTTCATACCTATGTTTCTACATCGTATAGCAGTATCCTCATTATTTTTTTTTAAATAATTTTATTTTTTTGCTTGTTTATATTATTATTTCCGTCATCGTTAATTATATTTTCAGAGCTGACTCCTTTGTGCCTTCAGGAAAAACTTTCAGCGGCGCCTTAACCTGTCTGAGTAGAAATATTTTAGATGTACCTTCAGTTTCTATAGCGGAGGTAATGTCCTTAAAGCCAGACGGCCCTACGCTTAGTTCTGCATTAGCCTTACCTAAAAATGATACTTGGTACTTCTTTTTCGTCCAATGTTATTCTTTGATCCTGGTTTTTATTCTTTGTATTAGACCTGTAGCTTCTGTAATTTTGTTTTAAAAAGCCATGCAAACTAAAACTTGAAAAATTTTAATAAGCACCTGAAATCTCAACCAATATGAAGGCGCAAGTTTTTATATAGATACCATATTTCATTGTTTTTTAAAAGATATGTAACACATTGTTGGTGTAATTTAAAATCATCCTATATATTACCCAGCAATTATTGATGTTGTGTATTTACCCTCTTCTATATATGTTGCCTATTACCAAAATATAGTTTTCGTATACTCATAAATATCCAAGAATTCTCTTTTAATGAGATTTGTAATTTTACAAGTTTAAAAAATTGTTTTATTTATGGGCTTATTTAATTAACAAATGTTTCCAAATTTTCTTATAATATTTTTAATAATATATTCTGCTTTTTTTGGATCTGCATATGAGGTTTCTGAATTATTCAGAAAAATCCTAACAAATAGCCATAAACTTAGTATAACTAAAATAATGATAAAATGTTTGTTCTTTGTCATTGTTTATTAATTAAATGTTTGGGATAATTTATATTAAATGTGACATCAAAAAAAAAACCAATTAATTTAGGTAAAATTAAATTAACCAATTAAAAATACATACTCCTTTTTCATAATTTATTCACGACAAATATTCACTATTTTAGGTTATTTCTGCCAGTATAGCAATTGTTTTAGAACAAAGCGAGTATCGATAAAAATATTGTCTTTCAGACATATTTCAAAAACCTACGGTGCTATCACTGTTCAACTTATGGATGTCAAACACCGAAAGTCTATTTTTAATACATTATAGTTGTAATTTATAAAACATAATAGCTCTAACTTGTAACCTAGTAGCTATATTCAATTTTCTTAAATAATAGAATAATTCCTCTTAGTTTAGTTTCTATCTTGATATCTTTTGATATTTTAATACTGTAACAATGCATTCAACATACTTATTTAAATTGTTACTGGCACAAAAATTTTATAAACAGATTAATAAATCTGTAAATCGACCATAGCATTGAGCAATAGCGTAATTAGATCCTGAATAAATTATATAAAATTATCCAGTTAATTTAAAGTTTAGTTTTTTCAATCTAATTTTCCTATTATGCACTGATTAAAACGAAAAAAATTACAATAATACATTTCCATTTCTTTACCTGTATTTTGGTCCAAAAACATCAGCTTCAGCCTCCAGCTTGGGTCACTTTTAATGATACGAATTTTTCAGCCGACACCTCAAAGCCTAAGCGAAATCGAATGTAGAGAACGAGATATACAAAAGCAGATAGACGCTTTGATAGAACTAAAGTGCAAAGAATTAACAAAAGGTACTTCTAATTCGAAAGGCAATGCTTTTCATCTGGAGCAGTGGATGAAAGGGTACATCTGCAATGAAGTGGAGACTCCCGAAGAAGAAAGAGAAGGATCGGTAGAAGAATGGACCCAAGAAATGTTAAGGAAGAGGTCGGAGGAACTACAATTGATAGATGCTGAAGGGAATGTCAAGACTAAGGAAATTAAGGAAGTTAAAAAGAATGAGAACGGGTTTGAAGAAGTATTGAGTGATTTGGATCACAGTCCGTCCAAAAGTACTACGACTGAAAGCCAGGTGAGTAGAATAGTTTAAATTTTCAACATATTTATTAGCTTTTTTTAATCTTCAATCTACAGTAACATGATATGAAAATTAAAGAACCATTCACACAACACTTTTTAATTAGAATGAATAGATTCATTTTGTATTAAGCAAATCCAATGGAAGAATGAAACAAAATAAAAAATATATATGTGGTGTTGGTATAGCAGCATACTGATGAAGAATTCCAAATTGGGTCAGGAAGTTAGATGACTAACGCTACTTCCTTGTCCAATACAGAAATCAAACTTACTCATCAACGTTATGATACATATGCCAAATAATTTCCTGAGAGATGTAGACACCAACAATTAGTTTAAGGCAATGTCTAAGAACTGCGTTGTTACCCATACCATTTACATTTGTCCCATTACATAAGTAACCTTTTACTACAGTATAATTTCTTGTACTCACTTTTTAGGTGACTGTTCGGTCTAGCCCTCTAATGCCAGAATCAGTACCGGTATGCCGACAGTGCCACAAAACTTGTCTTAGTAGCAATGGTACAGTTAATGGAAGTACCAAACACTTCAACGGATGCCACAATAACAAAAACCATCCTACACGACTTAACAGTAACGCCATAAAAGACAAAAACGACAATGACGAAGACGATGATTGGCAAGCCTTTATGTTAGTCGGTAAGATAAATTAAATTTAAACTACTATATTTATTCGTTTGATAGTAACTGATGTTTCGTTTTTAGGTTTAATTCCAAATCCTGCTGCAAGTTTAGTACAAATCGATCCTTTTTCTATTCCTTCGGTTCCTAAAATTTCGGTAGTGCCTGCTACACCAGAAAGTTCCATTTCGAAAACGACTAGCTCGGATACAAAGAACTTGGATAGCTCCTGTTTGTGCCAAAATGACAATACGATTGATTTTGAGGTAAGAAAAAGTATTAACATTTTTTATTGAGGTTTGTTTACTATTTTATTTACAAGCACTTTTGAATAAATACAAAATTCTTCGTAATGACATTTTGTAAAGGGAAGAGATTAATTAGAAGTATTTATTCAGCCTATGTCTATGGTTAGAAATAAATAATGACTAGTGTTTCCTTTTCTAGAATCACAACGAATTGGAAAAATCTCCTGATGACTCTCCAGATTCAGAAGAACACCCCTATCATTCGCTCAGTAGCTCCATGGTAACCTTGCGAAGATTCGGTACAGTATCCAGTTTAGAAAGAGTTGCCTCAGAAGAGAAGGAAATCTACGAGAATAATATCGATGGAGACGATGGTGAAGAAGATGAAGATTGTAACGAAGAAAATGGTATCGATAACGAGGCATTTAATCATTCAGCTGTTAAGCATTGGACATTAAGAGCCGGATCGTATGTTGCTGAGAAGATGGCTTTCTTCGAGAAACTTGGAGAAGATTATAGAAGTGTTGGATTCCTTGATAGGTATAATTTAACTTTGACAGTTGCACAATAATATTATCTTGTAACTTGTTTTAGCCGATTTAAAAAAGAACATAAACTAGGTTCCTTTAAATATTTTAGTTAATAATTAGAAGATAAAAAGAAAACAATTCAGAAGTCATAGTTTTCACTATGTTATAAGTAAAAAATTAATTAGTTTATTTTTCAGATCAGTGATATATTGTTTAAAATTTATTGTCATGCCCACTAAATTAATAATGACATAATTTTGGTTCCACTGACAATTAAAGTGGCAGTATTTTTTTGAATGCCTTTTGTTCACTTTGTTTACCTAAATTTTGGTTTTGTACTTTTATAAATATATTCCTAAAGTAACTAGATAAATGCATTAAGTATATAATGATTTAGTAACAAATTACATACCTTTAAACTACTTTTTATGACAAATCATGCCATCATCTTTTTGGAATGACGTTGATGTTTATATCTTTATGGATTTACATGTAAGTTACTATTTGAAAGTGCTTTTTAAAAACGGATTGAGTCTTTTAATATTGAAGTCTCATTTAATTTGATTATGAAATTGACCCTATCAGTGCTACAACAATACGAGCTCATGAGGTTAATATATTATTTTCGATTAAAAATCAAATTGTTACTTAATTTGTTTAATTTCAGATATCTTAAATCACCTGATAATCCTATGAATGGTGAAGAGCTTCAAGAAGAAGAAACATCTGGAGGTACCTCGGGAGAAGAAATTTGGGGTACGCCAACAAGCGGAGGAGAAATGGATGACAATCTGTATTCTCCTGGTTATGATGACAAACAGTCGGTAAGGCATATTTTAACAACAGTGCTGCCTTAATATATGATAATATATAAAGGCTAATTCCTAAGTTGATATAATTTTTAAACTGTGTCATTAAAGTAAACAACCTTTTTAAATGTTTTTTTCAAAAAACCTCACATATAAGAAACACACATTAATGTATTTCAAAATAAGTCCAGTAGGATTATATATAATTTAAATAGTTTGTTCAAAGTGGTTACTATTCACTTAAAGCCCATCTCGAACAATTAATTCAAAATCTAATTATTACCTACGCGTCTCAACATTAAACATAGGTAAAGGGAGGTAAGGGTGAGAGTAAAAGTACGATATAAGTAAAAATGTTAGCATCCGAATGTAAACATGGGCATATTATTAAAACGAACATAGTACCTTATTCTCAAAAAACCAGAAAAGCTTAAAAACAGTATCAACTAAACGTTTTAATTTACATTGATTGGGCGTATACATTCAGTCAAAAACAGTCTGGGTGGCTTATATTGCGGACATAAAATTAAATAGTATTTCAAAAAATTCCACAACTAGTCAAATAGAAATTAAAACCTGAAATACAGCAGAGGTGTTCACCTTTTTATTACTCAGGGCTGGGTGTATGGGTTTTAAAAATACTTTCTTTTTAATATGATTTTAAACGATTTGCTTATCTGTATTTTAATTATAGTAAAATAAGACCATGGAAATCGTATTAAAAATAAACCCATAGACCCAGTCCTTTCTTATAAAAGGGTGAAAAGATCTGCTGAATTTCAGCTCTTAATTTCTATTCGTCTAGTTGTAAGAATTTTATAAATAATATGTAATTTTACGTCAGCAATATAAGCCTGTATACATTTTCGGCTAATGTTGAAATTAGGTGACTCTTTTTGACTGAATGTATACGCCCAATCACTGTAAATTAAAACGTTAAATTTATCCTATTTTAAGCTTTTCTGGTTTTTTGAAAATAGGGTGCTATGTTTCTCTTAAATTAGAAATTCGGGAAAATAAATAACAAATCAATTTTAAAAGTATTTTATTGAAATTAGGAATCCATATTATACAATAAATACACCGTTCTTCCTATTTAACATTTTATATCTCTTTTTTGGGGTGGAAATAAGACTAATAGTTGTGAATTATTCTAGACATCACTAATGTCGGATATTATGTATTGCTCAGTTGATGCAGTAATAACTTACTACCCAGCTAGAACAAAAACATCCCATCTACGTTAATAAGCTGCAATTTTAGGCTCTTTAAGCTCGCATGCGATGTTAAGATATTTTAAGAGCAAATATCTTGCACCATAAATTAATCAGTGACGTCATGACATCAATCACTTACGGAACAATTATTAAATAAAAGAACACATATCACAAACACAATTACACATGTGGGATAGAAGAAGCTACCTATAAAGCACTGAACGATTGGACAAAATTAGCTAAATAGTATAATAATAAACGAATACAACAATGACTAGGTACATATTATTAGATTACTAGAGGATAGCTAAGTTCCCTGATTTCTTACCTCTAGACGCAGAGATATATCATCTTTTTTAAGTCAAGCCTTTTAACTTTTTTGTATATATATTTATAAAATGCTATAATGTAACCTAAATATGACAATTTATTAGAAAAGCATAAATTACGTTTTTATATAAAAAGATTTTACTTCTCAATACATTGAATAAAAAAGAAATTGACAACTTGTTTAACTATTATTAAAGGTAATGGGCCATGTTCACATGTGAGATATGCTGTTTTATAAACTATATTGTAATAGTTAGTCGCTATACAAGTTATTCTAAATAATCAGTTCGTTAAAAAAGCTAAAAGTTTTTAAATTAAGCCCAATTGAAATTTAAAATTTGAAATTATACGTCATCGGGAATAGACCAATCAGCTTGTGTCGAAGTTTTTTTTGTTTTACAAAACCAAGCCAACGAACAAACCTACATACAGAATGTCGAAGTGAACGCACATCTAAGTGACATTTAAAAATTGACAGCACCTAACAACTAACCTTAGTTTTTTGTTTTGGTTTAATTTTATTATTAATCTGCATTTATCTGGGTAAATTATCCTGTGGGATATAGGATATATAAAGGAAGAAGAATATGAATTTATCAGCTGTATTTATAAAAGTTGAATCAAGTATTTTTCCCATTGTAAACGAAAATATGATTACCGAGATGATTACTGCATTTTTTAACAATACTCAGTTTCCAAAAGATAGAAAGGTAAAACTTTATTTATAAATTGTTTTAATGGTAGGTAGTTACAGTTTATATGAAGCAGTACACTTTATAGTAAAACATATTTATCTCAGGTTTTATTTTTAGATCTGCCAAGCAAGAATATGGAGATATTTACTTTTTCCATAAGAGAGAAGGAGACAAATTACACCTAAACATAAAGTACAGCAAAAACCTTATTATGTGGCTGTTTTTTAGTGCACAATGCTTAGGATATGTTGAATCTCAAGGTTTGTAATATTTATTATGCTTTTTTGTTTTTATATCACATATAATAAACAGTGTATAAGGCCCTTTATTCTTATAAATATTTTTTTTCTAATTTTGACATAAAGAGACATTTTTTGTAATCGCAGCAAGTGTTAAAATAATCTAGAAATAGATTTTGTTAGTGAACCTAGTAATAATTATGATACCAAAGAATGCTGCAGAGCAGCTATGAAATTTTGAGTTAAAACATGCCATATTTTTAGGCTATTTTTATACCCTTTTCAAAAATTTTATGCTCCTCGTTTTATGCAAAACTTAAAATGCTCTGATAGCTTCGAACGAAGTCAGCAAAGCACCTCTGTTTTATAAAGTTTTTTTCTGTAAAAACAGCAACACCATATATTTATGCACTTGAAATATTATATTTTTAAAAAATACATGGTGCTTGCTAACCTTCGAAAGAAGCCAGCAGAGCAATTCGGTTTTTTAAAGCTTTTTTCTAAAAACCACACCCCATTTTTAGACTCTTGAAATATTGTAAAACTTTACTAAAAAAATTGCTATTTTTAAATAATACAGGGTGCTTTGTTGGAACAAAGTCAGCAGGACACTTCAGTTTTTTAATATATAAAAACAACTACTTATGACACATGTTTAGGCTGTTTTAAAATCCTAAAAATGTGGTAAGTATATTTGTTTTCAGAAAAAAAACTTTGAAGTCAGGGAATTGCGAATTTTTTTTAAAAATGTCAAATTTCGAATATTTTATAATATTGTAGGAGCCAAAAAATGTGGTGTGGTTTAAAAAAAAACTGGGGTGCTCTGCTGGATTCGTTTGAAGCTAACAAAGCATCCCGTAATTTTTTATTTTATAATACCCAATAGCCTAAAATGAGACATAGCTGTTTAAACAAAAATGGTACTTTTAAAAATAGCAGTTTTTTCAAAAAGCTCTATAATATTTCAAAAATGTGAAAATGTGGTGAGCTTGTTTTTTTTAAGTTTTGAAAATCAGAGGTTCTTTACTGGATTCGTTCAGAGCTAGTAAAGTGCTCGTCTTGTTACATAAAATAAGGCATTTTGTAGCTGGTTATATAGTTATTTTGTAACTGCATATCTAACCCTTTTATTTTTTTCAGGAGGTTGTAAACATGTGGCTTCATAGAAGAAGTGAGGAACCATCTGTAACATCTACTCAGTGTTATTGATAATTATGTACACTTGGCTAGATTGTTAAAGAAACCTCTTCATCCACTACAGGAAAATAAATCAGTACTTTTATATTCTTAGGATTTGTATATATTTTTTATTTGTAAATAAATTGTTTTTTTACTTCATTTTTCTCATTTTTTATTAAAAGGTTAATAAATAAAATTTTCACAGATTTTTATATTTTTGTTTGTAAACAATAATTGAAGTTTTTATTAAAAATCACCAATGTTAATAATAATAACTTAAGTCAATATTATTCTTTCTCCTTTTTTAAAGCTACTATTAATAAAGGTATTACTTTAGCTTGACCTATGATCAATTTTTAATTTTGTGATATATTTGGTTTGACAGAAAAAAAATTAAAACCCTTTGACATTGGTTGTTTTTACTTAGATTTTCATAAAAAATAAACGGAACTGCAAACATGTTTTACTATCGTAATAACGAATAGCAACATGAAATTTTTTTTTTCACATTTATCACTGTTGTCATTTTCATAAGAAGGCACACTTTCTGGTTTTTTGAAAAAGGTGGCAAGAACTGTGATATTTTTAAATTTATCACCAGTGATACCACATGTAGTTACCCGATTTATTGGAATATATAGACTTTGCTACCACATTCAACTGAACTTGGTTTTTAATATTTATCACTGTGACATAGGCGTTTTTGTTAAAATGTTTCATTTTAAACTGCTGTAAATAGGTGCCTTTGTTTTGGTAGTTTCAGTCCCAAAAAAATCTATGCATATACAGGTACTCATTCCTCTTCAATTTGCTCGAAAAGTTAAATTTTTATCAAAAATTACATTGGCTGTTTAAAAACTCATTATAATCCCTGAAATGTGATAATTAGGTAAATTAAATTAAAAAACAAAAAAGTTTATTAAATTAATATTTACTCTTACAAAATAGGTTCTTGTAAGTTAACAAGCAATTATGCAGATATTACCAGGGCATGTGCACTCCCCGTAAAATTCACGGTCATTTAGGCTTTAGTTACGAGACCCTCCGCCAAAGCAGCACTGTACTTTACTTTGGAGAATAGCCTCGTAGCCGAGGCCTTGTATGAAACAAGAAGAAGAAGTCAACTTCATCTTTATTTTTATTATCGTTCATCCGGTTCATTGTTTTGTTTAACCGACCGTTTCTTTTACGTTTAACGATTTTTGTAGTGTTTTTCTCGTTGTTTCTTTTGTGTATCGCTTTAATAGACTAATTATTTGAACATGGTGAAGTGTTGTGTACGTTTTTGTACTAATTCTTCACAAACGAATTTACACATTCTTCCCAAAGACAAAGATGTAAGTTACCTTCTATAG